TTCCAAGCTCCAGATCTGAAATGATAAAGCAGGACACAATTGTGGTTTACAGGATTAACAGGTATCTGGTCTGGGATGTATCCTCCTCAGTGTGCCAACCCCTTTTCCAAGGGCGATGTTGCCGCCTGGTCCTCTTAGACATGGTGAGCCCTTTGTAAAGGGGGTGCTTCTAAGAGCTAACCCTGTGCATCCCAGTGTCTGCTGTCTGTGAGGACGTGGCCTGACTCAAGTGCACCTGTGCTTTCATAGGGTGTAACACACATGCACACGCCACCAGCCTTCAGCCCATCCAGGCACTGACCCTGCTTTCTTTCAGCATTTTGAATAAACTGTCCCATTCTCTCCTGGCCTGAAAGGTTTCTGTTGAGAAATTCGCTCATAGTCTTATGGGGTTTCCTTTGTATGTGACGTCTCTCTTTCTCCTGCTACTCTTAAAATTCTTCCTTTGTCTTTGACTTTTGACTATTTAATTATAATGTGTCTCCGTGTACTCCTATTTGGGTTCAACCTATTTGGGGCCCTTTTGGGCCTTATGGATGTGAAATGTCCATTTCTCTCCCTGCATTTAGGAAGTTTTCAGCCATTATTGCTTCAGATACACTTTCCATCCCTTTCTCTTTCTCTTCTCCTTCTGGAATTTCCATAATGCGAACATTATTTCTTTTCACTGGGTCCCATAATTCCACCCAGCTTTCTTCTCTATTATCCTCCTTTTTTCTTGTTGCTCCTCTGACTGGGGAATTTCCATTGTCCTATCCTCCAGGTTGCTGATCCTTTCTTCTGCGTGGTCCAGTCTGCTCTTGAGACTCTCTATTGAACTTTCCAGTTCGGTTAGTGTATTTTTGAACTCTAGGGCTATTTTGTTATTGTGGTTGTTTTGATGGTGGCTATTTCCTTGTTGAGCTTCTTGTTTTGTTCATGCATTGTTTTTCTAGTTTCATTTAGTTGTCTGTGTTTCCTTGCAGTTAATTAAGCTTCCTCTGGCGGACTATTCTGAATTCTTTGTCTGACAGTTCATAATTCACTCTTTCTTTAAGGTCAGTCATTGGAGCTTTATTGGTTTCCTTTGCTGGTGTCATAGTTACCTGGCTTTTCATGATCCTTGATTCCTCACGTTGGAATCTGTGCGTCTGAGTAGTGGGGCTCGTCTTCCAGGCTGTGCAGTTTGCTTTGGCAGAGACGGTTCCTCACCAGTCAGCTCGCCTTGGGCTCGGCTTGGGTTTCTGGGCATGTCTGCTGGTAAAGCCCTTGGGCAGGTGGGCCTGCTGTTAGGGTTTATTTGGGGTGAGGCATCTGTTTGAGCTCAGAGGACAGGGATTGGGGCTGTGCCCCGGCCGAGAACAGGTGGACAGGACGGCTGGCTGGGTTCCTCCCCAGGTGGGGCTGGAGGGTGGGCTCTGCAGTCGCCTGGGCTTTCTGGTCAGGCTCATTGGACGGCCAGGACTGGGCACATATTCAGTAGTGGACGGGGTGTGAGTTAGCTTACCTCTCTGGCAGGGCAGCAGGCTGCGACCTAGGGCCTGCACAGCTCATTGTTGGGGGCCTGAGTGTGCACTGAGGGTGAGGCCACTGGCTCTGCTCTGCAGACAGAGGAGGCCCCAGGCTGTGCTCCCTGTTCAGGCGCCCACGTGCGGAGGGCTGTGGAGTGGGCTTCACAGTGTCCCCTGTGGTCTGGGTGGATTCCCGGGGGACAGGCTGTACTCGGTGGTGAGCAGGGCTGTGAGGTAGGTCCCCTGCCCAGGTGCAGTGGGTGAAGCAGCTTGAAAGCCAGTAAAGCTCTTTGTTTGTCATCTTACCTCAAGCTGACCCGCACCCCAGTTCCCTGGCTGAACAGGGCCACAGGCTTTGCTCAAGTGCCGCCAGGTACACATCTTCCAGGACTGTCGCAGCGCTTCTGGTCGATGGGTCTGGAAGGCTCTCTCTATGTGGGTGGGCTGGGACGCAACACCTGGCGTGGGCTTGGGCAGAGCAGGCTCAGGGCCAACAGAACTCCTCCCTGAGGGTCTGATTCAGGCAGGTATGCACCCCATCGAGCTCCCTCGTCAGACTGCGCCCTGACTTGGTTCTGCAGGTGAGCAGAGCTGCAGGTTGGGGTCCCCACCTGGGTGATGCAGGTGTGAATTCCATCCTGAGACCCCTGTGCGGATGTCATGAGCCCCTCCCCCCGCTCCATCACAGTCAGTCCCCAGCGTTGTGCCCTCCAGATTCCACTGCAGTCCCCGTGGGGCGAAGTCAGAATAGGGGCTCCCACATAGTGACCCAGGATGCTGGGGGTGAGGGCCTGTTGTCCCCGGGGACCTCATTTCCCACTGGAGGAGCCTGAGGCTTGGGGAGGCCTGGGGGAGGGGCAGTGTGGTCAGCATCACCTGCAGCCCCTCCTCTCCCCTCCCACTGTGTCTGTCTGGGCATCTGTCTGGGTCTCTGGGGCGCAGGGGCGGCTTCAGCCTCACCCCCCGGGTCTGGGTTCTCTCAGTGTGTCTTGGTCTTGAACAGTCATTCGTGGTTCTTGTGAGGAATGACCTTCTTCTGCGTTGGGGACGACATGGTGATGTCACCCCTCACACACAAGTTTTTCAGGAACACAGCTGTTGTAGAAAGTGAGACATTCATATTTGCTTTGGAGCCAATGCTGCTGTAATGTTTTTGGTAACGCTTATAATTGTGTTGTTGTAAAATGCTTATGTGAAAATAGGGATGTTGAATAATCTTACCAGAGAATGTTCAGGGCTTATCAAATTGCTTTCTGTGTTTAGCAAAATAAAACATCTCATGTCGTGTAGAAATGGCAGCAAATCTTCTAGTGCTGTGATGGCTAACAGACTGCGAGCTCCTTGGTGGGAATCACACAGAGATGTCACACTGTTTCCAAAGCAGGGAAATCCATTGATAACAGTTCTCTCAGCCTTATTTGATGGTTAAAGTGCTTTTTAAAATTTACTTTAATAAGTGTATTTCTTAGTAAGAACAGGTCAGCGTGATGTGATTGATAAACAGTAGTTATTAATGTGCATGCTCTGTGGGTCTGTTTTAAACTGTAATTTGATATGATTTTTTCCTTATAACCGGAGCTTAAATTACTTTTTTTGTCAATTGTATATATGAATATTAAAGGGAAAAATAATACACATTATTTATTTCTTTTTCATTTACTAGACCAGGGACTGGGTCATATTCTTACTCCAGCAGGCAGCATGCTTCTTGGCATGTGAAGAGGAGATCAGAACATATTTTTTAAGTGATTAAAAGTCCATATTACTTCTTCCCGCACAGCTGGTGGAGTTTCGTGTTTCTTATTCCATCAGGTTGCTTTACCGTCTTGAGAGGTTCCGAATGTTTGACTTGGAGGTGTGCCTAACCACTTGTCACCGCCAACATGCTTGTAGTTCTGACCTTTCACCATCTGGACCTTCCTCGGGAACACTTCACAACAAGATAAATGTTAAAATTAATGTTCACAGAGCCCTTTTGACCAGAATTCTCCAGGAGCGTGTGTGCAAGTGTGCGTGTGTGTGTGGTTGGTTATAATAATGCTTGTCGAGAATTTTAAAACTGCAGAAAGTAACAAGGAAAGAATATTTACATTAATCCCACCACCTGCATATAATCACCGTTAATATTTTGCTGTTTCTTCCCAATTTCTTTTCTGTGCATGTGTGTTTGTATATGTAGACACACATATATGCCTATTGCCTTGCATGAAGAAGGGGCCTTATAAGTATGTGAAAAACAAATGTTTTAATATATATAATAACTTGTATTTTAAAAATTAAGATCATAAAATATATACTGTTTTGTGTCCTTACTTTGACAATAAATTCTCAAGATATCCCAGAAAATTCCCAAGATATTTTATAAAAAGTATAGTTTTTGACTTCATAATCATATATGTATATATAAATTATCATCTATTTAACTTTTCTCCCATGTTAATATTACTTTGCATTTTTGCTGTAATAATTGTGTGATGTCCATTTTCACCATCAGCTTTTATCAAGACCGCTTCCTTAGCATATTAACCCTAGAGAAGGAGTTACTGGAACATAGAATATAAACTTAAAACAATTATTAGTCTTTTTTGCCAGATTTTTATTATTTAAAATGATATTTTTATTGAATTACAAAGGATAGTTCTTCATCTAGAAAAGCAGAAAACTAAAGTACAAAGAAAAATGGGAAGAAATTATTTATAATCCCGGCACCTAAAGATGACTTCATTTACGATTTTGATTTACATGATTTTAGTGTTTTTTGTTTCCATTATATATTTTACCAAAAAGGATCATTTTGTTTCCTAAACTTTTTTTCCCCACTTAGTGTATCATTAACATAGCCTTTCTCTGCCATTCAGCAGTCTTCTGCAATGTAATTTTATGGGCTGTTATTAAAACGACACGTCTGTAACAGTGCATTTCATCAGCTCTCTCTTCAGTTTGTTTCCACTATTTCACTATTATGAAGGGTTCTAGGATAAACTCTTGGGCACATCACTGTAATTGCATTAAGATAAATTCCTAGGAGAATGGCTGGTTCAAAGTATGCAAATAATTTTTAAGGCTTTTGACAGTTTGCACGTTGCCTTTCGACAGGTTGTATCAATTGGCATTCCCACAAAGAGGAGGTAGGAAAGTGAAAGGAGATTACAAAAAAAAAGTTCAGGTCCTTCGCCTTAAAAGTAACCAAATCACCTTCTAGAGAACCTGTGCCTGTTCTCTCTTCTTTGAGCGGGGGCTGGGGGCACACGTCCTGCATGTCATCAGTGGTCTGGTCGGTGATGGGGTGTGTTCATAAGTCTGTTCTAACCCAGGGAAAGCTGGGGATGTGAGGTGACGTGATTGTACCAGATGCTCACAGAACGCCAGCGATAAGGCTCCTTCCTGTTAGCTGCTTGGTCTTTTGATCTTCGGTTTAAGTAATTAGCCTCCTTCTTGGATTTAGCTTCAATTGCATAATTTTTCAGTCACTAATTGTCTCAAGAACAGCCCTTGTGTTTTCTCTTCCAGCCCCTGCAGTGGCCACGCGTGAGGCCTGGTCTTGGGAGCAGTACTTGAAGGAACAGGAGGCCGTGGCAGCGCCCGTTGAGCTGTTTTCCAAGGTGAACAAATCCCTGAAGGTCTTAGAGTTTTGCAGGGAATCCACACTTAAGAGAATCCATTGAAATGAAATCGTTTGCCTAGATAGCATTCCGACGTATCTGACTTGTAGGCTTTGCTGGAAATTGACATAACAAAGCTAATCCAAGCCTTAGTGATTCCGTGTGTGCTCTGGGGCCGGCCTGCCTCGGTTGAAACCTAGCGCTGCCACCTTGAGCAGGCCACCCGGTCTCTCTGTGCCTCGGGGTCCTCGTTTGTAAAGCAGGGGAACCACCACACCTGCCTCCTTGGGTTGCTGTACGTGTGAAGGACGTCGGATATCACAGGCACGTGGTAGACACCAAACGTGAGTCCTTCCTCACCGATGTTACCTGCATCTGTCCACCCAAGGATCAGTGCCAGGCATCTGTTTTGTTGTGTTGCATGAAGTGGGTCAGGCAGCATGTTGGAGGGGACAGTGAACCTCCTAAAGCAGGTTGACCCTGACTGTAGGGACGCCCGGAGCAGCCCCGGTAGACTTGCTTCACCCAGTGACTCCTGGCACCAGGGGCTTGCAGCTCCGGGGCTCATCTTGGTACCCAAGGTACCAGACCTTCCAATGCCCTTTCTCTTCTTCTCGGGCTGTGTTTTCATTATTTCAGGGGCGATCTGTATAAAAAAAATTGCATCAGATTTGCATCATTATATTGCATTTTAACCAGCAGAGAGAAGCTAAGACTTTTTATTTGCTTCGCTTTTCATGACATCCGTTGAGTTACTTGTAGTACGTTTTATTATGTGAGAAGGCTAGCAGTTTTAATCTAGGACATGGCAGTAGAACTGGGGAGAAGAGATGTAGCCGGCATGGAACGAAAGCAGAGCCAAGTGTTGGTACCTCACAATTTAAGACATACTGAATATCGACTTGTGGGTTCTCCACCCAGTCCTCATACCAGGTGCTTCCAGGGAGCTTTGGAAAACACGGACATGCACGTTCCTGAGACCTACTGAACTAGAACCTCAGGGTGTGGCCGGGGAGGCCATGGGTTGGAAGCCTCCTCGGGGCTCCTGTGCGCGGGTAGAGGTCCCCTAGGGGAGAAGGCTTAAGGTCTGTGCAGGTTCTGCTGAGGACTCAGGTCCTGCTGCCCCCACTGCTGTCACATGACGAGACTTAGGGCGTTCGTTCCACTAAGCGTGTAAGTTCCCGAGGTGACAGAATGCGCAGTGCCTGTTCTCAGTGTGCTCTTGTCACCAGCTGTGTTGAGTGGCTTCCGGAAACCTCTCCTTCCTTCTGAGTGTGGATGCTCTTTACAGAGGGTTGGCTGTGACCGGGGTGACCCAGCGTAACTTGTAGTCGCCCTTTCCAGCTCGCCCTGTGCCGTCTCATGCCCTTCCTGCAGTGGTTACTCCAGGTCAGAGGGTAGAGGGCTCAGGCCAGGAGCCAGTGAAGGCCTGTGCATTTCTGTGACCTCCAAGGGCAGATGTAGCCTAGCTGGGGTCCAGGATGCGAGGACACAGGCCAGGCTTGTGACCCGATGGCTGTGCTTGGTGAGATGACCGTCCAGGATCTCAAGGCAGCCAGAAGCCACGAAGGCGGGGATTGACCAAGAAGGACACAGTGTCCTAGGAATCAGACCTGCGTGTGTCCTCGGACCAGGACCCCAGGACAGGGATCCTCTCTTACCTCCACCAGGACCCTCTGGGACTGAGTCCGATGTTTAGATGTTGGGGGTGAAGTGTGTGTGGTTCCCAGGGCAGGGCGAGTTCTGGCCGATGGCAGCAAAGTGCCAGATCCCCATCCAGTTCCCACCTTCTCCCCTCATCTCAGCCAGTGTGTGTTCACTTTATTTCTCAGACTTGCTTCTTTCAGATCCTTTAAGGCCCATCAACTCACGCAGACTGGAGTTTCTCCCCAGATTCCCCTTGGGTCCTCAGTGCTGACTGAGGCATCTCCAGGGCAAGTGTGGGATTTCTGTCCTGAAGTAGATCCTGATGCTGCGTTGGGGACCATGTAGTGATGGGCTGTGGGCCATATAGCCTCCCCCTTGACCTTCTGAGACCCAGAAGGTCAGGGGAGGGGAGCAGGGGGCAGGGCACACCATCTGCATGGTTCCTTGGCTAAAACTATGATTTCCTCAAGCTTCTGAACTCTAACCTCTGTCAGCTCTGAAGGTGACAGTGAGGCATTAGCACAGCAGGCAGCAGCCGCATCTGATGTGGTGGCTGCCTTTCCCTTCACTCGGAGTTTCACAGTCAAGCCACTCACGTGTGGCTTGACAGTGAAACTCAGGCTCCGTGTGTGCCAAGCACCACGTAAGACCTGGGCGGAAACACTAGTGTGCTTGTGACACGGACTTTTAAAGTTTTGCCATCTAGTTGGGGTGTAAGATATGCCCAGAAAACGTGATAACAGCCCAAGGGAGAATTGTTGATTGTCCTTGGAATATGCAAGTAATGAGCTTACTAGGTGTTTTGTGCTGAGGTGGGGCTTCGTCCCACCTGCGTGTGAAGGGGAAGTCACCACCTATTACATCTGGTTTGTCCTGAGGATGGAAGATGTTGCCCTAACTGAGCATTTGTACATATATATGCTCTGTATATGCTATATATACACAATACATATATGATGTGTGTGTGTGTGTGTGTGTGTGTGTGTGTGTGTGTGTGTGTGTGTGTGAAGGGGAAGTCACCACCTATTACATCTGGTTTGTCCTGAGGATGGAAGATGTTGCCCTAACTGAGCATTTGTACATATATATGCTCTGTATATGCTATATATACACAATACATATATTATGTGTGTGTGTGTATATATATATGCATATGTAAGATGAAGTAAGCATGGTTTATGATCGAAAATAGGTTTCAATAGAATGAAAAAGGCAGGTGGTACACGCCAGCCTTCCAAGCAGGAGGATCAGACTGAACTCAGTTTTGTGTTGGTATTGTGCTCTTGACTATTAATGTTCATTTTCATTGTGTAAATATTATAACCATGGTGTTCAGGTCAGCCAGCTGAGATGGAACTCTTCAGCTTTTAATAGTGAAATGTTGAAAATAAAACTTAGAACTTAGTTTGCATATCCTGAATGGAAAACTACTCAAAAGAATATTGCTTTACTTTTAATATATAGTTTCCATTCTAATATTCGAGTTTTAGAAAACATACCAGTGACACACACACAAACACACACTGTCAATTCTGTCATGCAGATCAGATACGGATTCTACCAAGAAAATGTGTGGGTATTTTTAAAGAAGAGAACACTTATTTCATTTGCACGTGGGTTTTTTTTTTTGCATCTTGTAGGTCTATTTTAAATATCTTTTTGTACAAGACAAAGTTTTTCATTTTTTATAATTTATTTTACCATCTGGAGTAATGAGTATACAAGGATGTAAACACCTTCTGTTGACGCAGAAAATTTAAAAACATTTTCTCTTCATTACTGGTGGAATGTGCCAATCTTGATTTGATTTAAACTTTAAAAGATTGTTTTGAGGTTGGTTTTAAAAACTTTTCTCTGTCCTCTCTCCCTGACGGTCATCTCCTCATCAGACGTGTCTCCCTAAAGCCTTCTTCCTTCCTGTCGATTGTCACAGGTCCACCCACACCTGTCGGCCTGGAGTCGAGGCCGCGGGGTCTGGCCTGTCCACACGGGGCTTCTCCGGGCCTGTGGGGCTGGTCGCCACGCTGGCTCCGCTTGACTATTCCATCTTTATCCGAGTTTGCAGGCCTTTTGTGTCTCTCTTGTTCTTTGAACCTCATGGGTCCGTGCCCCCCTCAGACTCCCCTCTTTCATGAAGCTGCCCCAGCCCACCCACCCTGCCCTGTCTGCTCGGACCTGCCAGGCACCTCCATCTGCACATCTGAAGGGCGGGGGACGGGACAGGAGTGGCATGAAGACGGGACCCAGATCTCCACCTGGGGTCAGATCACTGTCGGGCTCCAACTGAGGGAGCACAGCCGCCCTGGCTCTGAACTGCCCTCTGGGGACAGGGAGCCCCACCAAGCCCCACATCCCTGCTGTCCTCGGCCATCCTCCCGGGACGCTCTGCTTCTTATCCCCAGGCAGGTGTTCCTGTCTCCAGCCGGCATGGGGTTGCCAGGTAGATTAGGCCCCTGAAAAGCAGGGAGACTTGCACATTTTAAAAATAATTTGGTATTTCAGAACAAAGTGAAAGTAATCATGAGAAAGTTAAAAGTCTCTGGGATGTCTTCATATATCTTTTATTCTAATTTGAATTCCATGTGGCTAGGTGTTGTATTAATTTCCTTTTGCTGCTGTAACAAATTACCACAGTGGCTTGAAACAACACAAATTTATTACCTTAAAATTCAGAACGTCCCAAGTCTAAACTGGGGCCAGCAGGGCTGCATTCATTCTGCAGGCTGTGGGGAGGATCTATTTCCTTGCCTATTCTAGCTTCTGGGGGGCCACCTGCATCCGTTGGCTTGTGGGCCCACGTCACTGCAGCCTGTTTCCATCCTCGTGTCTCCTTCCCTGGTCCTCCTCCCTCCCTCTCATAAGGACCCTTGTGACGGCATTGGGCCAGCTGGGCATTGCAGGGCCTTCTCCCCATCTTCAGATTCTTCACTTAATCACGTCCACAAAACTCCTTTTGCCGTGTGAGGTACCAGCATCGCAGGTTCCAGAATTAGGACCTGCACATCTTCGGGGGCCACTGTCCTGCCGACCACAGGTGCCACCATCTCCTTTCCATTGCTGGTGCTTCTCTGTCCTGGCCCCTGGCCCGAGTGACTTCTTATGGGTCTCTTCCTTCGCCTTATCCTCCCGTGATTCCGCTCTCCCCACCTGGGGTGAAACAAGCGTTGCAGCATCCTCAGTGGCTCCAGCCCAGATGCACACCCACTCCCCCGTGGCCTGTGCTTCCCAAGAGCCTTGCGTGCTGTGGCCGGGCCTGGCCGCCCTCTAGGGCCTCGGTCGGTCGCCTCCTGTCTCCTAGGAGGTCGGCTCTCTGAGGCATCTTCCCTCACTCCTGGCAGGAGGTGGTCACCCCT